CCCCCACCGATTGTGAGGTGGGAACTCTCCTCCCAGAACTGGACACTCAGAAAGTTGCAGAAGCAACTTAGAAGCTCAGTAGAAGCGACCAAACCAAGATGCACATCGGGTCTCCATGACACCCAACCAACTCACTTCCACTCTGCCAAGTGCCCGGGTACCCCGATTACCAATGAGACAGAGGAGAGGTGCAGAGGGTCGTGTCTCCCTATTCGGCAAGCCGCTTGGAGGTGACAGACACATCATGAAGAATATCACAGTTCCCTCCACGTGCTAAAGGCTGTGCCTGGAATGGAATGAGCACTGCATGTGGCCTCAGAAAATGTGGCACAAGTCCCAGCTACCACTACTAGTTGTGTGGCCATGAGCAGGTCACTTTACCTGGGCCTCAGTTTCCTCGTCCGTAAAATGGGCATAATAACTAGTCAGACGGCGCGGATTTTGAAGGAAGCAACAAACCTAGAAATGTCTAGCAAGGGGATGGCATACAGGACATACCCAGTGCGCGTTTACTGAATGTGACCTACCACCAAGAACAGAAGAGAGGCCTGGTGGACAGAATCAGGCCTGGGGTCCAAGCTCACATGGCATCTCTTTCAGGAAGGCGTGGATCAGAGCTCCATTCCCCACACGGTGCCCATCAGGGAGGGAGCCAGGGAGGGGAGCTGGAGGTTCTCAGTTCCAATCCGGCAGCCCCCACTGCACACAAACACACCCTCTTCTACACAGCCCTCTGCCGGGAGGTTGCGCCACAGTGTCCCGTCCCCCATTCCCCCGGGCACAGCAGAGACCACAGCTGCGATCCAGCTGCGGAACCGGGCCCAGCCGCTCCCGACTGGCCTTGAGCCAGAGACAGGAAGCCGGGAAGAATTGTGCATGCCTGCCGGACACTGGAAAAGGGTGGACACCAGGGGCTGAGCCCGGGCCAGACTTGTGAGCGCATTGTGTAGAAAGGACTAGATGGGAGAGCTCCATGGGGTCATGGTCACCCTTCATTGCCCGGAGGGCTCTGGGTGGGGGGAGGGGATTTGATAAGCCCCAGGAGGCTGGAAGGAGCACTGGTTTGGGAGTCTAGACACCCGGGATTTAGTAAGATTTTTCAACCCATTCACTGTGTGACATGCAATCAACCCCTTCCCCCTCCGGCCTCTTGGGAAACTGATCTATTGAGCTCTCTGTGGCAGACGCCCTCCAGGGAATACACTGGCAGATGAGACGGAGTCCCCTCTCTCCCGGAGCTTTCCTCCTGCCGATAAACAAACACGTGGAAGAGAAAACATGGCGAAAAGGTCGTGAAGAAAAAGAAAGTGGTGTGAGGAGACAGTGAGGGGTCCCGGACGGCCTCTGAGAAGGTGACACAAGCAGAGGAGACGTGGAAGTGAGGAAGGGGGCCGTGTGGAGATCTAGGGGAAGCACATTCTGAGCAGAGAGTAGAGTAAGAGCAGAAGCCCTGAGGCCGGCACGTGAGGCAAGGAGAAAACACGAACTCAGGAAGCAGCCAGGCTGGAAGAGAATGAGCGAGGGAGACGAGGGTGGTGGTAGGAAGAACCCGTCTCACGGAGCCCGGAGGCCACTGTTAAGCACTCGGCATTTTACTCGGAACCGATCAGTGGGCCCCAGGAGAGCCAGGCCCGGACAAGGGGAGCAGAGCCCGCCTGGTGTGTGTGAGTGGGTGGGAGGGGCATCTTAAACCTCCACTCATTTGCCCTGGGGTCCTACCCAGGTCCTTCGGGTAGAGTGGTGTGTAAGGCCTAGAGTGATCAGGGCACTTGGCTCAGATGAAAAACGTCAAGGGGCATCAGAAAAATCTCCATAATGAAGGGGGGCCTGGGTGGCTCAGTCTGTTGGGCGTCTGACTCTCAATATTGGCTCAGGTTGTGATCTCACACGGTTGTGGGATGGAGCCCCGCGTTGTCAGGGCGGAGCCTGCTTAGGATTCTCTTTCTCTGCCTCTCCCCTACTTGTTCTTGGTCTCAAAATAAAAGAACTTAAAAAAAAAGAAGAAGAAAACACCGTAATGACAATAAACAGTATCTTCCTGCAATATATCTAAAAATCAAAATTAATGCAAAAAATCCACGGTGCACAAAATGCCAACATTTTGTAAATCAATGCAGGGTCTAACCCTGAACTTGCACGATCCTGTCTCCCTGGCTTCACTCTAACCCCAGCCCTGGTTCCAATATAACTTTATTTATGGAAACAGGCAGCTAGCTGGCAGGGCTGGAATTTGCTGATTTGGGTGTTTTAAATACTAAAATAATTGGATTAAAACGTTATGTATCTTGGCATCCTTCTAAATTTTGCACCCCAGCCAAGTGCCCCGTATACCTTACCCTAGTCCTGCTCCTGGACAACGGTGAAAGGATTGAGTTCGACACCGAGGGCCCCAATATTCATCCCTCCTGAAGCTCAGACAGATGCAAAGATTTCACCAGGGAAACGTATGGATGGTGGGGCTGGGATGTGAACTGTAGTCCCATGATAAGGCCCACCACCTGGCCATCACATCCTACTGTGCTCTGTCCTGGAATGTTGATTTCGATGAGTGTTGATTTTTTAAACCTTTATTCATGTATAATAAACACACAACGAAGCACATGTACCTGAAACGCTCACCTTGCTGAATCTTCACAAACTGAGCACACCTGTAAAACCAGCATGTGGGGATTCGATTCAAAGCCTATTTTACATTTCCAACAAAACAAACATACTAGTCCTGGGCCAGATTCCTAGGACTTGGGCGCAAGCAGGCGACTTGGGACCCTAAGGTCGGGGGACTGGACTGATCTAGAGTTTAGGGGCCCTGGATAGAGACTGAGAAGGGAGAAACGGTGCCCATCTAGGGGGTGTGGTTGAAGAGGGGGCCCTGTGGTGCAGGAGAGGGCAGACAGAGACGGTCCCTGGAGACAACGTCCCCCCACCCCCTTGGAGGAGGGCGAGGCCCACGCCGCTGGCCCAGGTAAGCCGGTAAGAATGCAGCAGTCGCCGAGCCGGGCGCGGGTGCGTCCCGGTGACTCAGCCCTTGCCAGGAAGGGGGAGTTCACTCTGCTCTCCAGAGCTCCCAGACCGCAGCCTGGTCCGGGCTGGCTCCCGGGGCGCCAGGCCAGGGCCCCGCAGCAGGCAGCCCGGCCCCGGGAGCGGGACCTTTCCTCCAGGCCCTCCCCCCCCACTTTCCGGTCGCAGCCACCTGGGGTCATCACAGGGACGCGGCCGCGGGTGGCGAGAGCGTGGCGAGCGAGCGCCGTGGGGCCACGGCAGTCCTGCCCCTGCCGCGACGGCGCCGCAGGGGCCTTCGAGCGGCGTAAGTAGCGACTGCGGGGGCTGGAGGAGGCCGAGGAGAGGCCCCGAGTCACTCACTCGGCTCCCGGTGTCCCAGCCCCCTGCTTCAAGCCCGGGCTGGAAGGCGGGATTAGGCGAACTGGCCTGGCGCCGCCGCCTCCCTAATTGCTCACTGGCCGGCGTGGTGGGGCGCCCAGACTCGGCTCCGAGGCGGCCCGGGTCAAGTGTGGCCCAGACGCTGTCACCCCAGCGGCGGCCCCACCTGAGGATCATCCCACGGGCACGCCCAGCGGGCCGCAGGCTCCAAGCCCTCCCCCATTCTCGGGGACCTGGTCCCGGGGTCACGCTGAAGGTCCTCGCCCCCCACCCCCCACCTCGGGCTGTCTGATGGCGGGTCCTTCCTGTCCCCACGGCCCCGAGGAGGGACTCAGCTCGCGATTCCAGATATGCTGTAGGGCTGTCCCTGCCTGGAGGGGCCCCTTCTCTCTTTCCCGAACACCCGCAGTTTGGAAGGCCTCAGACTCCGGTCTGGAGCCAAAAGAAGGGCTCAACTCGGAGAACCTCTCTTTGCCTCCAAAGTTGGTTTTCTGACACAAATTCCCACGCACAGCTGGCAGGGCCGGGGCAGGGGGCGGGGGTGGGGGGGTGCGGATTAGGGATGCTCGGGGCTGCTACCGGACGCGGGAGGCTAGATGGTCACTAACCGGATTTCCCGGAGGGACAGCTTCTGGCGGAGTGGGCACGAGGTCTGTGAGTCCCAGGCCCCAGGCGGAGGGGGTGGGCGAAGGGTGCCCGAGGGCCTTGATCACTCCCATCTTTGGGACAACGAGATTTGGGGCCACAATTATTCAGACCATTGGCTCGAGGTGGTTGTGGTCACAGCGGTTTCTCTCTCTCTGTCTCTCTGTCTGTCTCTCTCTCTCTCTCTC